TCCAATTTGTCATCTATTTTTTGTCTTGTTGCTCGTGCTTTTGGTGTCATCCAAGAATCCATTGCCAAATCCCAGATCATGAAGATTTCCTCCTCTGTTTTCTTCTAAGAGTTTTATAGTTTTAACTCTTGAATCCATTTGAGTTAATTTTTTTATATGGTGTGAAGTAGGAGTGCAAATTCTTTCTTTTGCATGTAGATATCCAGTGGTCCCAGCACCATTTGTTGAAAAGACTGTTCTTTGCTTATTGAAAGGTCTTGGCACCCTTGTCAAAAATCAGTTGACCATGGGTTCGTTTCTAGATTATCAATTCTATTCCATTGATCTATGTATCTATCCCTTACTAGTACTAAACTGTCTTGTTACTGTAGCTTTTTAGTAAGTTTTGAAATTGGAAAGTGTACACTCTAACTTTGTTCTTTTTTTCCCAGAATTTCAAGAGTTTGTGAAGCATTGTTGTGAATTCTTTAAACTTTTGGTAGAATCAATGAGTAAAGCATCTCATCCGGGGCTTTAACTTATGGGAAGTTGTTTTGAATACTCATTCAATCTCTTTACTTATTATAGGCCTATTCGGATTTTATGTTTCTTTGTGAGTCAGTTTTGGTAGTTTGTGTCTTTCTAGAAATTTGTATTACTTTTTTTAGTGATTGCCCTAGAGTTTGCAATATACATTTAGAACTAGTCCAAGTCCACTTTCCAATACCATTATACTGCTTCACAGGTAGTGCAAGTACCTTATAATAACAAACTATTCCTAACTCCTCCCTCCCATCCCATGTATCATTGTTGTCATTCATTTCAGTTATACATAAGCATACATAAGCATTATATGTATACTTAAGCATACATAATCTAATACATTGTTTCTATTATTATTTTGAACAAATAATTGTCTGTTACATCGATTAAGAATAAGAAAAATAAGTTTTTATTTTATCTTCACTTATTCCTTCTTTCACGCTTTCTTTCTTTATGTAGATCTGAGTTTCTGACCTAAAGCGTTTTCCTTCTCTCTAAAGAACTTTTTTTAAACATTTCTTGCAAGGCAGGTCTACTGGCAAAAAATTCCCTCAATTTTTGTATGTCTGAGAAAGTCTGTTTCTTTTTGACTTCTGAAGGGAAATTTCACAGGATACAGAATTCCAGGTTGGTGGGTGTTTTTCCACAACACTTTAAATATTTCACTCCCCTCTCCTCTTTCTTGCATGGTTTCTGAGGAGAACTTGGATATACTTCTTATCTTAGCTCCTCTATAGCTAGGTAAGCTATTTTTTTCCTCTGGCTTCTTTCAAGACTTTTTCTTTATCTTTGATTTTTCTGGAGTTTGAATATGATATGCCTAGGAGGGTTTTTTTTGGCATTTATCCTGCTTGATTTTCTCTGAGTTTCCTGGATCTATGGTTTGGTGTCTGATGTTAATTTGGAGAAATTCTCAGTCATTGTTGTTTCAAATATTTCTTCTATCCCTTTCTCTCTTTCTTCTCCTTCTGGCATTCTCATCACAAGTATGTTACACCTTTAGTAGTAGTCCCACAGTTCTTAGATATTCTGTTCCATTTTTTTTCAGTCTTTTTTCTGTTTGCTTTTTAGTTTTGGAAGTTTCTATTGACATATCCTCAAGCTCAGATATTCTTTCCTCAGTGGTTCAGTACTAATGAGCCCATCAAAGGCATTCTTCATTTCTGTTACAGTCATGCATCGCTTAACGATGTGGATACATTTTGAGAAATGTGATGTTAGGTGATTTCGTTGTTGTGCAAACATCACAGAGTGTACTTACACAAGCCTAGATGGTATAGCCTACTACACATCTAGGCTATATGGTACTAATCTCATGAGACCACTGTCATATATGTGGTCCATTGTTGACTGAAACATTGTTATGTGGTGCATGACTATATAGTGTTTTTGATCTTTAGCATTTCATTTTTATTCTTTCTTCGTAGTTCTCTCTGCTTACAATACCCATCTGTTCTTGCATGTTGTCTACTTTTTCCATTAGAGCCCTTAGCATATTAATCATAGTTATATTAAAATCCTGGTCTGATAATTCCAGCATTCCTGCCATATCTGACTTTTGTTCTAATGTTTGCTCTATCTCTTCAAATTGTGAAGGTTTTAAGGTTTTTTGCCTTTTAGTATGCTTTGTAATTTTTTTGTTGGAAGCCAGATATGATGTACTAGGTAAAAGGAACTGCAGTAAATAGGCCTTTAATAATATGGTGGTAAGGTGTGGGGCCAGGGAAAGTGTTCTAAAGTCCCATGACTAGGTCTCAGTCTTTCGGTGAGATTATGTCCCTAGATTGTGAACTCCACCAGTGCTTCTCAGGTTTTTTTTTCTTTCCTCCCGGAGGTGGGACAGGAAGGCTAGAGGGAACTGGAGTAGGGTGTTTCCCTTCCCCTAGGTATTTTAGACTCTGATAAAATCCCAATAGGTTAGGCTCTGGTAAAATCCTTTCTCTCTGGAGGGCAGACCTTGTTACAAAGAACAGAATGCCCTAGTATATTTTAAAATGGCTACTTTTCCCTTCTTCCTTCTGAAGCAGGAGGGAGATTTCCTCCTACCTTCATTGTGAGAACCTGGTAGAGCTACTGGAGGTAAAGCTCACAAAAGTGTGGATGTGCTCCCCTGTGACTGGGCCCCCTAGAGTTTTTAACTCTCAGACTTGTTCACACGGAGCCCCCAGCTATTCGTCAATTATAGTTCAGGTTTTCCTGCCCAAATACTGATTCCCGTGGAGGCTTCTGCTCATGGGTTTCTGCTCCAGCAAGTTTTGATTTTCTGTAGCTGTCTGTCTGTCTCTCCAATTTTGGGGTTAGCTTTTTCCCCTGTGACCTCAGTTCCCTGACAGATGTAAGAAAAGTTGGTATTTTTTTTTTCAGTTTGTTCAGCTATTTACTTGCTGTTAGAATGGAGTAATGACTTGCAAGCTCCTTAAGTGCTGTACCAGAAACCAGGAGTTCTCTGTCTTCTTTTTTGATATATGGCATTTACAGCTATATATTTGTCTCTAAGCACTGGTTTAACTGCATCCCCTAAGTTTTTTTTTATATTGTATTTTCTTTTTATTTTTTTCATCTCAATATAGTTTCTAATTTCCTTTGTTGTGCTTAGACTTTCTACAGGGGGTAACATTTCTATTCCATCACTGGATTAATTTCAGAGAGCATTAGCACTTCTAGGCCTCTGGGTTTACACTTTCACCTTTAGAGAGTAGGGAGTTCCTGAGGAACAGAGGACCTACAAGTAGACATGAGTGGCTGGGGAGGAGGGGCTACAATTTAAGCCCTGGCTTTTGAAGCCACCCTGTGGCCTGTGTCCTTCTAAACCAATGGTTCTCAACCAGCAGTGATATTGTCTTTCCCACTCACCCAGCACCTACCTATACAGTGTCTCACTACCTCTTCACAATGGTCCCTGAGGTAGGTGAAATGTCACAATCTGAGATGAGGTTGAGTGGAGCCTTAAAACTAAAGCAACCTGTCAGTTGGTAGCAGAGCCTGGACGACCACCTTCCAGTCCCATCGTTTCCCAAAAACCCCATAGCTACCTGGGCCTCCACTTGCTTTGTTCACTCCACTTTTCAAAAGCAGATCATCATGCATTGTCTTGTGAGTATATGTCTGGCATATTGGTAGGCTAAAGGGCTTCTCCTAGCTAAGAATGCTTCGCATTGTCTTGTGATCCTCTGTTTAATGTCTCCCTCTGCAAATAGAGTGGAAACTCCCTATGGGCACAGAATAAGCACTCAGTAAATTTTTGTTGAATGAATTAGGAGATATGAGAAATAATATACCAAAATGTTAGCTTGATTATCTCTAGGAGCTTCAAATGAAGGTTGCAGCTGTCTCCAGAAGAGGCTGGGAAATGGGGTGTGGTCCTAGGACTGGTGGGGGAAGAGAAATTGTGGACCTGTATATTGTTTGTTTGGCCTATAGGATTTTAATTTGGTTATTATTAATAACACTGGTAAGTATTATTAGACTTGCTAAATTCCTCACATTTCAACTTCCTTTTCTCTTTGAATTGTTCATACTAGCACTTTTTACCTTTATTAAAAGACCAGTTTTAACCCTGCTTGAAAATTCAGTGTCCTCAGATTTTGTCCCCTAAAGGTCTTATCAAAAACATAACTTAAAGAAAAATCTTGTGTGATGTATGACATGAGTTATCATTAAATTTTCCTGACATTGAATCTCTATATCTTAAGGTTTGTTGTTAGTGCCATGAGTTGATTCTGACTCCTAGCGACCCTGTATACAGCAAAGCAGAACCCTGCCCGGTCGTTTTGCGCCATCCTCTCACCTTCTGTCGTTATATCGACAATGCTCTGCCGCTATTCATAGGGTTTCCATGGCTGAGTTTTTTAGAAATGAGTGGCCAGGTCCTTCTTCCTAGTCTGGAAGCTCCGCTGAAGCCTGTCCACCCTGGGTGACCCTGCTGGTATTTGAAATACTCGTGGCATAGCTTTCAGCATCACAGCAACATGCAGCCACCACAGTATGACAACCGACAGACGGGTGGTGTGGTTCCCTGACCCGGAAGTGAACCCAGGCTGTCACAGGGAGAGCGCGGAATCTTAACCATTAGACCACTAGGGCTGGCTTAAGGTATCTGGTCTCAGTTTTCTCATCCATAAAATGGGAATGATGATCCTTTGCTAGCTAACTGAGACCTTGCCTGAGGATAAAATGATTTAAAACACACGAAAGCATTCTGAACAGTACTGTGTAAATGGCAAGGCCCCTCCAGTTATGGGTAACTCTGAAAAATAGTGTTCATATGAGTTATGTAATTTAACCAGTTGTCAGGCAGTTATTAAAGGAGTTGGCTAGAATGAAACAAAGTGCATTCAGACTTTGTGCTCCTGACTTACAGTGCTAGCCTGAGTAAATAGGACTTTTTTTTTCTAGTAATTTGGTTAAAAGATCTAAAGCTGTATTTTGCCTTGGACTATCCTGACAATTACAATCTCTTGACCTTTGTTTCTCCATAGGTCTTACAGAATATCTTGGACACTGAAAGAGATTATGCTAAAGAACTTCAGTCTCTTCTTGTTACTTACTTAAGACCCCTGCAGGCCAATAACAAGTAAGATTTATATTTTAAACCCATCGCCAAATAAAACAAGATAATGTCAGCATATGAAGTCATTGCTCTTATGTCACTGAATAATTGATTTTGCCCTTTAGAAGAATTTCCACAGATCACAGGTTGCCAAGAACATGGTCAAGGCAAAAAATTATGCAAGATGTTGCTTTTGGAGAGCTTGGCTCTCTTTCTCTTCTTACTGTGGAAGGAGTGAGCAGATCTGGATTTCAGTCTGTCACAATTTTTACCTTGTACATTTTTAAAGTGGTACATCTGGTTTTACTTTCCCGAAAAAGAACTTGCTGGTGTTTTTATGCAGAAAGCACATAAACTGGAAATTCTTGTGCTCACTCTGACCTTTGCTTGCCAGGGCAGAAACTCTTTCCCGTGCTCTGAGAGTGGAAAGAGTAGCATTTTGTGAATGTTCATAAGAGCAATTCAAGCCAGTATTTCACCCAGGCAAAAGTGAATGATAAAGAGATGTTAAAATGATTTTTAAAATAAAATGTTCAAACTTTATGCTGGTCTTAGATATCTGAAGTGATTGTCTGAGGCCTGAATTGAAAACTTAGTTTTCACAAAAGACAAATATTGACCCTTCTTTTTTTGTGCTTGTAGGCATGGCATATTTAACAAATAGTGGCTAACTACATTTGTTTGTGTTTTTATTTTAATTAATTAAACTTTATTAGAGATTATGATCTTTAAGTCAAGTAGAAAATTTAGCAGTCGGTCCGTATAATGGAGGACAAAAGCCTCCTCTTTGAGCTCAGTAAGAGTTTACTTTTGCTGGACAGTTGCCAAAACTATTGTCTTCAGGCTTAAAAATAAGTTTAATATATTTCACTATTTTTCTCCCTTTTTCCAAATCATGCTTGCTTAGGCATAATGTCTTGCTAAATTTCCCAATTGGTTATTTTCGTAGCCCTATGGGAATCTTACTTCAGTATGAAAGGATTTTGTATTCCTGTGTTTTGTAAGAGTTTCAACATGATCGACAACAAAGTGTCTTTTGTTATTATTATGTAAAACATGAAGTGTTCTGTGAATCATAGTCCTTAGAGCTGAATGGAACCTCAATGAATCATTGGGTCTAGTGCCCTGGAAGAAATGACTATCCCCATTGAATAAATAAGAAAACTGAAGTCCAGAGAGGCTTCCTATGTACCCATCACACAGGCAGTAAGTGGCCAGACTGAACCCACTGTATCTCCTGCCACCGAATGAAATGTGCCTTCTGTTTTCTGGAGGTGACAGGCAGAGGAGGAGAGGGAAAATGAAGTGATAACCCTGGGAAGGGAGATGATAAGATTTTAAATGAAGGAGTGACTGATTAGCAATTGAGAAACAGTAAGAGGAAAGGAAAGGAAGAGAGCCAGGGCAGAGGAGGTGGGAGACCCGATTCAGAACTGCTCTGTTCTCACATAAATTCAAAATGCAGTTATAGTAAGTTTCCATTGGTTCTGTCTCGTAGACCCCAAAGTGATTTGAGCAAGCCAGACTGTTTATTGTCTGATCCAGAAAGGGCCAAATACACCCCCAATCAGGTTCAAGTAAGCCCCCAAGTCAGGTTCTTGCTGCTGTGAGAGAGCAACAGCCAAGGAAGCTGGCTGGCTAAAGGTTTCGCTTTTGACACCCACAATAGGGGTTTTCCAGCTTGTGGTTCAGGAGGACATTATAGCAGAGGAACTGGGAGCTTTTTATACTCTAGGGGTTACTGGTAATGTTTTCTTGGGTCTTCATTTTCTTTGTCAGCAAAAATTACTCTCTGGGAAACACTCCTCTTGTTTTATTACATTAAGGAGAAAGAACATGTGGCAGAAATCTTCAGAAAAGTTTTCTCCCAAAAAGTGATTAAGAGCGTGGACTCTGGAGCTAGAATGTTTTGTTTCGAATTCTGGCTTCATCATTCACTGGCTTTGTGACTTTGGGTGATTTGCTTAACCTCTCTGAGCCTGGGTTTCCTAGCGTGTAAAATGGAGACAGCAATAGTACCTACCTCATAAAGTTATTGTAAGGTTAAAATGAGCTATTATTTGTAAAATGGTTGCATAAGTGTTAAGTACCATATGAGTGCTGCTGGTTTTCGTTGTTATTATCACCTATTATTTGGCAGGGCAAGAATAGATGAGAAAATTCTTAGTACAGAGTCCCTGGATAAAATTGTTTAGTTTGCCTTTATTTGACTCCATTCTACGCTAAAAGCAAGCAAATTAGAACTATTTTCTGCCCCCTACTCCTTCTCATAAAGATTTCCTTTTTTTTTAGGATCATTATTCTTATTATAGAAAAGGGAAATCAAGGAAAGAAGCTGTAGAAAGTTGCTTAAGACCACAGAATTGGTGTAAATTAAAAAGCAAAAGTTAAAATGTGAGGATTGATTCTCTTGTTCCATTTTCCAGTTATTAGCAAACTATTAGCTAACTAGACTACAGATAGGTAACTAGAGTGATCCTCAAGTTCTAGTCACTGAACTACATATATGTGTTTTTCAGTCTGAGTACTGTGGAGTTTACATCTTTATTGGGAAACTTCGAGGAGGTATGCACATTTCAACAGACGCTCTGCCAAGCCTTGGAAGAATGTTCCAAGTAAGTGTCGCATATTGCCTTTTGGATAGCCAGCAACATTGTTCTGTTTTGTTTTCCTTTTAACTGTTGTCTTAGATAGGGGCACTTTATGTTTATACATTTGTTACAACTTTGATAAATTGTCCCAGTACAGAAAAAATGCACTAGGTGGTGGTATTAACAGTGTCAAACCACTAGTTGTATTTCAGGGCTCTACATGTAGTAAATTATTTCTGACTTTAGTTAAAAATCATACCGGTTTACTGCTTCTAGTCAGTATGAGAGACAAATAAGGTCTCAATTGGCCGTGAATGATGCTTTTGACATACATTAGATATTTTCTTTTGTACATTGCAAATTACTTGGAAAAGTTATTCAGATTATTCACTCAGTTTTTTTTTAGAATTTTTTTTTTTGCAAGGAAGATCAGCCCTGAGCTAACATCCATGCTAATCCTCTTTTTGCTGAGGAAGACTGGCTCTGAGCTAACATCTATTGCCAATCCTCCTCCTTTTTTTTTTCCCCCCAAAGCCCCAGTAGATAGTTGTATGTCATAGTTGCACATCCTTCTAGTTGCTGTATGTGGGACGTGGCCTCAGCATGGCCAGAGAAGCAGTGCGTTGGTGCGCGCCCGGGATCCGAACCCGGGCTGCCAGTAGCAGAGCGCGCACACTTAACCACTAAGCCACGCGGCCGGCCCTATTCATTCAGTTTTGCAAGCTTGTTCTCTTTTAGTCATTCTTGCTATCATGTCTATTATGTTAACAGTTGAAAAACATAAAAAATGGAGAAAGGAAAAGTATATCTTTATGTGAACCACAACACATATTTGATGGCTTGCTAGATTGTTGAGGCGTTAAACTTCTTACTGCAGAATGAACTGTAATGATCATCAGGCAATATATTTCTGTAGCAAGATTAATTTTCCAAGCGGTATATCTCAGAGAAGTTGGTGACTTTCATCATCTATAGGGAAATTGGGGCGATTGCCTATTTCTCGAGCTTTATGGGACACAGGTGATTGTCCAGGGAGGAAGATGGTGAGAGCCCACACTAAAGAGACCTGATAGGGATGCAGATTATTGATATGGAAAAATGGTGAGAAGAGCAGATTACAAACTAGATTTGTAATCTTTGTTTTCCATTTTATAGAGAAACATGTAGAAGAAAGTCCAAAGAATATGTCCAAATTGTTATAATAGATATCTCTGAATGGTGGAATTCTGAGCATTTTTTTTTCTTTCTTGTGCTTTTCTTATTTGTCTACAAATGAAAACAGGTGGCTTGTAATTTAAAAAACAAATTTTAAAAATCTTGAGGCAGCCTTGCCTAGCAACCACCAGACCACCAAGACTACATCATACTCCTTTGTGATGTGTCATTTTTGAATTTGATTAGTTTTGTCTGTACTTGAACTTCATATAAATTAGCCAAGAGTATTTTTAGTGTGCCCAACTAAAAATTTGAATATTATAGTTTGAATAAGCATCTTAGAAAAAAATCTTACCTACTAATTCCAAATGAGTATCTGACCCTATGGATTGGCACCATGTTTGGTGACTAGAGTTTAAAGCAGTGGTCAAGAACTTGCATTTCATGGATAAGATGGTTATACTATAGTTTCTCTTTTAACTTTGGCAAAAGGATTCAAAAATTTTGCATGTTGTCAGGTTTAATTGGAATAATCTTCCTTTATCCTCTGGTGCATATTTTACATACTGTGTTTCACCTGTTTTCCTTACAGGTTTCCAGAAAACCAACACAAAGTAGGAGGTTGTCTACTGAACCTCATGCCTCATTTTAAATCTATGTATCTGGCTTACTGTGCAAATCATCCTTCAGCTGTAAATGTACTTACCCAGCACAGGTAAATCGTTAACATTTCCCCAAATAGGCTGTTTTACAATGAGATCCCTTCCTAGGACCACCTCATTTGGAAATCCAAGGTCTCCAGTTGGACTCTTGATTATTCCCATTCATCATGCCAGGAATTGATTCATTGTAACATGGGTTGATTGTCTATTAATGCAACAAGTAATTTACTGAGCACCTACTATGTGCAAGGTCCTGTACTAGCTGATGGGGATACAGTAGTGAACAAGGAAGAGAAGGTCCCTCCTCTCGTGGAGCATAGACTCTTAAGGGAAATCCAGACATGAAATTAAACATTGTAAGCATGTATTATAAAAGGGTAATTAAAAGGATGCTGTGAGACTTTGCAGCGTGGTTTGGGGTGAGGGAGGGATCAGGGAATGCTTTTCTGAAGTAAAATTCTATTTACATCCCATGGTTTAAAGCCTTCCCTGCCCCAGTGAATGTTTTATCTGAGTTGCTGACAAATAGCTAAACTGCCTAGATTCATCTATTTTTCACTTTCCTTTGGTAGAGGAAGTCTCAAACAGTGCTTTGGCTAAAAGGCAGGTATTAACATGGAAAGGTGGAAGGAAACTAACACTGTGAACTGTGTGGCAGGTGCTTTAAACAAAGGGCTCTGATAGTAATTATACATGAATATAATTTGTTTCAAATTCATGGAGAACAACAGAATAGTGTCTCCTTTAAGAGTCCTTACAAAGGACCCGGAGAAGTTCACGTCTCTCCTCTTCCTTACCCTCTGATTCCCCATCCCTGACACATTCACTGGCACATTCATCTGGGCCAGAACACTGTATGATAGGTTTAAAGACACAGTTTTAACTTTGAAATCACGTGCTAGAAGTTCAGGTGGGACAATAGCAAGAACAACATGCAGAGGCGCTTAGGACTTAACCTGGAGACGAGATTCAGGATGGACATGCATTCTCGAGGCTGCTCAAGACTGAAAACAATATTCTTCTCTTTATCTGGTCCAGACTTGAACTCCCAGAGCCGGGCTAAAACACTGTTGACACCAACCCTCAGAAGGGATGGAAATTTTGGTTTTGTCCTGGTTTGTTAGGAGCTTTATTGACTTTATAGAGCTGTTATATAAGGACATTTTTAAAGTAAAATTCAGTAGATCCTACTTGATTGAAGGTCAATTTTAGTCCCCTGATCAAAGTTGTGAACTCTTGTGGAATAGCAAATATGGAAGTTGGATTTTAAAGAAAGAGAAGCCATGACTCTGGGGTATTTAGGCAAGTAGCTCAACTGCTTAGAGCAAATATTAGCTAATAATAACACAGACAGTGTGCCAGGCACGTGATGTAAAAGCCTATGAGGGAGTTACTATTATTACCATCTCTGCTTTACAGATAAGACGTTGGAAGGTCAAGTAATCTGCCCAAGAACTTGTACCTGTTAAGTGGTTGAACCAGAATTAGAATCCAGGTCTGTCCGAATTCTAAAAAAAATATTTTTATTAAGATATATATTTTACCTACAAAGAGAATAATCTAAATGCAACTGTAAAGAATTATAGTAAAATCATCACCCATGTACAGACCACCCAGCTTAAGAAATAAAACGTTACCGTTTCCTTTTTTATGTAACAGCTTTATTGAATTATAATGCACATACCATACAATTCACCCATTTAAAGTGTACAGTATATTCAGAGTTGTGCAGCCATCACCACAATCAATTTCAGAACATTTTCATCGCTCCCCAAACAAACCCATGCTCAGCAGAAGTCAGTCCCCATTGCCAGCCCAAGGCAACCACTAAAATACTTTATGTCACTATGGATTTGCTTGTTCTGGAAATTTCATTTAAGTGGGATCACACAACATACAGCCTTTTGTGTTTGGCTTCTTTCACTTAGCATAATGTTTTTGAAGTTCATCCATGTTGCAGCACTTATTAGTATATCATTTTTTAAATTGCCAAAAAATATTCCATTGTGTGGATACTGCGTATTGTTCTTCCATTCACCAGTTCATGGACATACGGATTGTGAATTGTGCTGCTATGAACATTCATGTACAAGTCTTTGTGTGGATATGTTTTCATTTCTCTTGGGTGGATACCTAGGAGTGGAATTGCTGGGTCATATGGTAACTCTATGTTTCACCTTTAGAAGAACTATCTGACGGTTTTCCAAAGTGGCTGAACCAATTTGTATTCCCACTAGCAATGTATGAGAGTTCCATTTTCTCCACATCCTCATCATCATTTGTTATTATCAGTCTTTTTGATTATAGCCATCCTAGTGGGTGTGAAGTGATATCTCATTGTGATATTCATTTAC